TTGAAAGTGCATTGTGTTGGGTTGGTTTAAAGAGCAGCCAACAGGAACACCGCACATTTTGGTGGTCCCAATCCCTATCTTCCATTTGGTTAAGGCCGCAGGAAAAAAATAAAGGATATTTCCAGTAGCGATGAATTCCATTAAAAACCAACAAGGGAAAATAAAATATATTCTTAAGCAAATGGAGGCTATTGAGATACATAGGCCCCAGGCCTGAAAGCGGTGTCGCACCAAGGCCGCAGGCCTGCACGCCGTGTGGCAGGCCATGCGGCAAGCGCTTTCAACCCGGTTCTCTTCTCCTTGTGATTTAAGGGCGGGAGCCCCCTCCAGAACATACTGTGGATGGACGGAATCCATTTCGCACCACTTTGAAACAATGGGAAACAAGTATTTGTTGGTATTTGCAGGGAAATCACCATCCCAAGCTTTGTTGGGTGGTGCAGGATTCCTCCATCCACAGTAGGTGTCCTTTTTGCTTGTTTTGGTAGAACATCGATGGCCCTGGTTGACTGGTGGTTTAATCATCTACCAGGGCCATCTCTTCTTGCCCTAAAAGCACCCCTATGCTCCAGCAGCAACACGTGCCGAAAAAAAAACCGCCGCTGGGCAACTGCCCTCGGCATCAACTTGGGCGCGGCCCTGTGAGATCGGAGCCTCACACCCGTATCCACTCGATGTGTCCAAGGTGCCACGATCGGGGGGGGTGTTATAGGAATAAACAAGGACACCCCAAAGCACCCTAGAGAAGCTGCTTTTTTTGGTATGTCCTGTGACCCAACCCTTTGAACAGTGGAATACTGCGCCCAATTACAGAGTACCTCCACCGTCCATGGGACAACAACAGCGCCATTGTTCTTGTTTGGCAGCTGATGAAGGGAAGCTCCCTCTGAAAAGACAAGTGGTTGTGTCTTGTTGCGGGGGGGAAATCATTCCCCCCACAAGAAAGGTGAGTCATAGTCAAAACCCGGCAGCAAAATGGTCTACCCAGAACCATGTGAATAATTATGAAGGCGGCCGCAGCTATTTATGGTTGGGATTGTCCCTGACGAACCTTCATCTACCCGGGTTTTGAGCACGTGGCTCAGGTGGCGTTCCTGTTGATTTTCCCTTAAAGCCATCCAAAAGGGGCACCGCCAAAAAAGACACAACTCCCCATTTGCTCCAGTCCCCTGAAAAGATGCAAAAATATGTCCCTTTAAAACCAACAGGGGGAAAATACCAAAACAATTCGTAAGCAAATGGAAGCGGCCCACTGAAGGTCTGAGATCTACCAATCCTCTTCCAGGCCATTTCCACCCTCAACTTCGGAGCAGCGGACTTGGAGGTTCAAAGTTACTGGCAGTCCCAAGAGAATTTCTGGGAAAATGAGCGCCCTCTGTGTTTTTTTTTGCAGAAAGTCTGGGTGAGTTTCCATGTCCCAAAGGCATAAGACCATAAACGAATCAATGTATTTGGCCCGAACTATAGCGGCACTGTAGAGCCGATGAAACCCTGGCACTTAGATGGAGGAAAGCCGGTACCACTTGAACACATACCGCTCTACAGCAGTAGATGAGAATCCTAAGCGTGGTTGACTTCTCTTTGCGTCTGGTGTTCCTCCAGTTTGTGGACACATTTGCATGGTGGGAACACAACCTTAGTCGGACTTCCTTAAGATGGCTAAACACCTTTGGGTATACTCTTTAGCTGTATCCCTACCGGTCCCCCCACGGAAGCAAATGGGCTTCCAAAAAAGGAATTGCACGCCGAACAATGGGTCCCTCACTAACAACCGCAAGTAAGATTGGTCAAAGAAAGCAAACATGGTCGAAGAACACGCACATGCAACCACACCCGAGGATGTTCGGTTCGAGGCCCTTTGCACGGTTGTCTTATTGGTTTGCTCCTGGAACCAGCCAAAAACGAGCAGCTGAATTCGGCAGTTGCCATGATAAATAATAAACGATTTCCAGAACCGACCATCTGGAAATATTGCCCGCTCGCAAAGACGAGCCTGAAAGAGGTGCGTGCTCGTGGGTTGGTTGGTTGGTCAGCCGGCCCTTCTCATGCAGCACGTCGGGCCATGGCCGCTTAGCGCAGCATTTTTGGTCGCTTATCCCGCAAGTCTTGCTTGTGGTACACCACTGAGGCTGACCGGTTTGCGACCATTGCAGAGCTTCGGCTGAAATGGTCAGATCCCATCATCCACGCCATAAAAGGCGAGCCGGGACACCGCTCAAAAAAAGCCCCCCCCTGACCCATGGAATCACTTGGGTCTTGGGGCATTTGATGAAGACCATGCCTCCGTGAGATGTCTCCGTGTGCCGATCTCACATCGGATCCGAAAACATGAGCGCCCGGCAATTTCTGCCTCCTAATTCCGGCTGTAGGGAAGACCTTCTCTAAGTGTTCTGGTCACTTGCTTCCCTAAAGGACATGGACAAGTTGGGTCCCTGAACAATTCGTGGTCCGTCTCATCCCCAAGACCAGTCGGTCGATTATTCACATATGCCCAAACCCAGGAATGTGGTTTGGCCACCCCTTTTGACAAAGTTCAGACCACTATCTCATTTGCCCAAAAGCCTAGAAATAAACGGTTAACCTTTTGAGGCTATGACCGACAATGGGCCAAAAAGGGAAAGCCAAAAAGGTTAAGAGGTCGGCTTCGTTCAACCGAGCTACTGTTTAAACATCCTTCTGGAGCTCAACCCCTCCCCCGAAAAAGTATCCTTGGTCCTCCAGTAGAGAGGCTGGAATAAAGGCACCAACCATTATATGCAGTTTATTTTAGTAGGGGAACCCTCGCAACCAAAAAAGAAAGGGTAAATGGGCACCTAGCTGGGGGACCTAGTTTATCAAAACAAGAAGTCAGTCGCTCATGTGCATGCCCCCGAGGGCAATACCTCTGCGGATGTGAATGTGCAAGTCACAGCTCCAGACCCCCGCAAACACTTTTTCCAGTTCTGGGGAGGACACCTGTCCACCTGTCCACCTGTCCCATCTGAGGTTTGTGATTCTCCCTGTTTACCTGTCCTGAACCGACTTCGTGATTGCTTGTTCAAGCCCAGAGGGTTCAAGTACCTCATGAGGATGGCTTTTAGGGGGAAAAACAAATTGGGTCTAAGTGCCTTGTTAGGTGCCAAGGGACCCTCTGGGAAGGGACAACGGGACCTCCAAAGTCAGGAACCGAAAGCTGAGGTCTGGCCAAAATGAGCTTATGAGCAAAAGCTTTATGGCCGGCCATCTGCCAGCCATAGGCGCAGTGGCCATGTGTCCAAATGGCGGGAACCCACCCAGGCGCTGACTTTGTGACACATGTGCCCTGACGGAAAAACTTATTTCTAAGCAACAGAGGTCTACAGCGATTCAGCAAGGCTGCTTCAAAAATGATGCTCACCCGCCTTAAACGCTGTTGCATTTGATTCCCTAAACATGGCAAAAAGAACTCCGAAGACAAGTTGTGTGGGTGTCCTCGAACTCCCCACTTGCCATGTTTAGGGAATAGGTCCCTTTCCCGAGGGAACTGGCCGATGAAATTCCATTGCTGGTTGTCAGTAAATGGTCTGCCCAAAAAGTACGTCCAGGAACTCGGGAAGTGAGACGGTATCTCTGACTCTCTGAAAAGCCGCGAAAGCTCATGACAGGTCAGTCGTGCGTGTCTCTTGACGGACATCAACTAACGTCCATCAGAAGGCACTACACCCAGCATGTAGCATCATTGCTCACATTTGCAGAGCGGTTGAGGGTAGGACACTCAGATTGAACTGTTGCGACACACCCACATACCAATGTCGTCCTCGTCATCCCTGAAGCGCCAGGAAAAACAACGGGGGAACACGAGCCGCATTAAGGTGCTGAGGGACACATTTGCGAACCAACCAAGATGTAAGAGAGATAGACAGAATCCACTTCTAGACCATGTAAGCCTAAGGGGTAAAGTGGATGAATAATGAACACCTTTACCTGTCTCTCATCCACTTCGCTTGAAGGTGGAGTGGGGCAAAACAACGGAAAGTCGGCAAGTCATCTACCCAGCGCCCAAACCCATTGATGTTTGGTTCTACCAAAGTGGATACAAAGGCGCACATGAGCCTAGTGGAAGCCCCCGGCGTTGAGGATTTGGGTTTAGGCGATGCTCATTTCCTCTGCATGGGACTCTGACACCGAGATGGGGACCCCATTCCTATTCACAAGGTAGTGTAACTTTCCAAGCAGGCGTTGCTTGCTCCCTTGGTATCGAATCAAGTGGCAACCTAAACCCCCCATTTCCCACATGTATGGGGCCTTCGTCCAACTAGCCAGGAAACAAAGTAGTGCCAACTAATATCCAGGGTCAAGTACAGCCTTGACGGTTCGGGGATACAAACCAGTGCGCGAGTTGATTCTTTGGGAAGTAAACCAACCCCTCAGAGTCCAAAAGGGGGGGCTTCAAGTCCATCTCTCCAGGTTGGTCAAAGTGACCTCGTAAAAGTGAAACTATCCTACCGTTTCCTTAAAATACTCCTGGTAGCTCCTTAGCTTCCCCTCTTTAAAAGCTGGACACTGCTCCCTGGCTCCCTTCCAACCACCGGCTCCGTGTGTCGAAAGCTCAAACGGCTTTTTTTTTCGATCTCTGTATAGTATCGGGCTAGCAGTTAGAATATATTTTTTAGAGTAAATGAAAATGCACATTTCAAAAGTCTATCAAAAAAATGAGTTAGAATAAATAGGGAAAAAGTCAGCTAGAATAAATAAAAAATTGAAGATAGAATATTTCAACCAAAAAGAAGACAACAGATAGAATATTTCAAAATAAGAAAACAACAGATGGAATATTTCAAAATAGGGGTTTCTGCTATGAACAACTACTCTGCGATAAATGTCCTAGCTGCTAGCCCGTTGCTAGATGTTTATATACATATATATACGGCTTTCAGCAAACCATGTGGGTCCCATGATTTTCCATTTGGGTGCGTCTCTCTTTCAAGGGTATATGCAAAACCAAACGGAAACCAACCGTTTTGAGGGGTCCCCTCAAAGAAAGACACACGCATTTGCCAAAGGAATGCATGATGCATGGCTTCTCCATTTTTTCGGAGCTCAAATGCTCAGCCCGACGGGCCATGCCCCTCTCCCACAGACAGATAGAATATTTCAAAATAAGGGTTTCTGCTATGAACAACTACTCTGCGATAAATGTCCTAGCTGCTAGCCTGTTGCTAGATGTTTCTATGTACGGCTTTCAGCAAACCATGTGGCTGTGGGTCCCATGATTTTCCATTTGGGTCCGTCTCTCTTTCAAGGGTATATGCAAAACCAAACGGAAACCAACCGTTTTGAGGGGTCGCCCTAAGAAAGACACACGCATGTACCAGAGGAATGCATGGCTTCTCCTTTTTTCGGAGCTCAAATGCTCAGCCCGACGGGCCATGCCCCTCTCCCACAAACAGATAGAATATTTCATATACAGCAAATTCTCCAGAGACTCAAACGGTACCGAGCCCAAAATATTCATGAACACCTTTTGGGGGGGGGGGGGCACATAGAATATTTGCTTTTGCAAACCTTCATCAAATGATTCATCGTATGCATAAATTACTAAATATAGAGATAGTAAATATTGGATTGCTTATTTTTTGAGGGTACCCCAGTAAATTCCAACAAGGGGTGGCCTTCCTTTCCCTTTAGCCCAACCCCAAACGGTACCGAGCCCAAAATACAAATGAACACCATGGGGTGGCACAGTTAGAATATGTGTTTGTGGCAAAACTTCATCAGGTGATGAATCGTAGGCATAATGAAAGATATAGAGATAGTAAATATTGATTTGGTTATTCTTTGAGGGTCCAAAAGCGTGGCCTTCCTTTCCCTTTAGCCCAACCCCAAACGGTACCGAGCCCAAAATACAAATGAACACCATGGTACTTGTTTTTGGCAAAACTTCATCAGGTGATGAATCGTAGGCATAATGAAAGATATAGAGATAGTAAATATTGATTTGGTTATTCTTTGAGGGTCCAAAAGCGTGGCCTTCCTTTCCCTTTAGCCCAACCCCAAACGATACCGAGCCGAAGCTATACATAAACACCATGGGGAGGCACAGATAGAATATGTGTTTTTGGGCCGGAAAACCTTCATCAGGCCACACTTTAATACATATATATATATGAGAGAGATAGCAAGCATTGGATGGCTTATTTTTTAAGGGCACTTCAGTACACTCCAACAAGGGGTGGCCTTCCTTTCCCTTTGACCCAACCCCAAACGGTACCGAGCCCAAAATACAAATGAACACCATGGGGTGGCACAGTTAGAATATGTGTGTTTGGCAAAACTTCATCAGGTGATGAATCGTAGGCATAATGAAAGATATAGAGATAGTAAATATTGATTTGGTTATTCTTTGAGGGTCCAAAAGCGTGGCCTTCCTTTCCCTTTAGCCCAACCCCAAACGATACCGAGCCGAAGCTATACATAAACACCATGGGGAGGCACAGATAGAATATGTGTTTTGGGCCGGAAAACCTTCATCAGGCCACACTTTAATACAAATCTATATGTATATATATATATATAACAGAGAGAGATAGCAAGCATTGGATGGCTTTTTTTAAGGGCACTTCAGTACACTCCAACAAGGGGTGGCCTTCCTTTCCCTTTGACCCAACCCCAAACGGTACCGAGCCCAAAATACAAATGAACACCATGGGGTGGCACAGTTAGAATATGTGTGTTTGGCAAAACTTCATCAGGTGATGAATCGTAGGCATAATGAAAGATATAGAGATAGTAAATATTGATTTGGTTATTCTTTGAGGGTCCAAAAGCGTGGCCTTCCTTTCCCTTTAGCCCAACCCCAAACGGTACCGAGCCCAAAATACAAATGAACACCATGGTACTTGTTTGTGGCAAAACTTCATCAGGTGATGAATCGTAGGCATAATGAAAGATATAGAGATAGTAAATATTGATTTGGTTATTCTTTGAGGGTCCAAAAGCGTGGCCTTCCTTTCCCTTTAGCCCAACCCCAAACGATACCGAGCCGAAGCTATACATAAACACCATGGGGAGGCACAGATAGAATATGTGTTTTTGGGCCGGAAAACCTTCATCAGGCCACACTTTAATACATATACATATGTATATATATATATAACAGAGAGAGATAGCAAGCATTGGATGGCTTTTTTTTAAGGGCACTTCAGTACACTCCAACAAGGGGTGGCCTTCCTTTCCCTTTGACCCAACCCCAAACGGTACCGAGCCCAAAATACAAATGAACACCATGGGGTGGCACAGTTAGAATATGTGTTTTTGGCAAAACTTCATCAGGTGATGAATCGTAGGCATAATGAAAGATATAGACATAGTAAATATTGATTTGGTTATTCTTTGAGGGTCCAAAAGCGTGGCCTTCCTTTCCGTTTAGCCCAACCCCAAACGGTACCGAGCCCAAAATACAAATGAACACCATGGGGTGGCACTGTTAGAATAGTTGTTTTTGGGCCGGGAACCTGCATTAGGCAATTAATCGTATGCACATATAAACATATATATATATATATATCTAATTTACATAGTAGATATGGATTTGCGTTTTTTGAGGGTACCCCACTATTCTCCAAAAAGGGGTGGCCTTCCTTTCCCTTTAACCCAACCCCAAACGGTACCGAGCCCAAAATACAAATGACCACCATGGGGTGGCACAGCTAGAATATGTGTGTTTGGGCCAGGAAACCTTCATCATGCATTCAATCGTATGCAAATATATAAACATATACATATTATATATAGAGAAAGTAAATATGTGTTTGCTTAGTTTTTGAGGGTACCCCACTATGTCCCAACACGGGGTGGCATTCCTTTCCTTTTAACCCAACCCCAAACAGTACCGAGACCACATATGAATAAATGAGACAGTTCGAGTAATCCCAAATCTTGACATGCCTGTGCAAATCCTTGGAAGTGGAACAGACAAATAGAATAATCTGTGTCAGATACAAAGGCTGCGAGGTCTGGAAAATGACCTTTGAAAGGAGGTATTGGCAATACTAAGTTTAGTCCTGGCAGCCCAAAGCAAGTCGAGAAGTGTGTTATCAGAACAGGTTTATTTTGAAAATCTACGGCCCTTGCTGAATTATTCTATCTGATAAAAATACTAAATTTACTATTGGCAATACTAAAGTTAGTACTGGCAATACTAAATTGACTATTGCGGCAAAGCTACCCCCTCTTCTCGTAGCCAAAAAACCTTCCAGGATACGTTTTTAAATAAACAATTTTACAGTTCAAATCCTTGCTAAACTTTACTAGGCTTAGCATTGGCAATCCAAAGTCTATATTGGCAATGCTAAATTCAGTACCGGCAATAGCAAGAATGTCCTGCCAATACTAAATTTACTATTGGCAATGCTAAAATTAGTACTGACAATATACATGAGTACTATTCTCAAACTAGTACTGGCAATGCACAATTAAGTACCGGCAATGCTAAAATTAGTCCTGGCTCGGAGGACCTGATTTTACCGCCCGCGTGCAACTGCAAAGTTTCTACCTTTGAGCTTTTCGTGAAAGCGTTCGAGCTTCCCCCCCCCCCTCTAAGCTCATTTCTCACTAGCAATGCTTCATGGACATCTGAGACATCACCATCTGCTTTTATTATTCACTTCTTCTTCCTTGACCCCATGCATCTGCGCGGCTCGATGCCATCAAACGTTTCGACGCCATCAATTGGTGTGTGAAATTTCCTTGTGACCCAGCTTGCTGAAATATTCTGTGAAATATTCTGTCTGTCAAAACATATTCTATCTGAATTATTCTAAGTGTATGCTATCTGAATTATTCTAAGTGTCACTTGTGAACCTAAATATTCTAACTGATGTTTTGGGATATTTTCGGAGTAAAATATATTCTAAGTGAGGATCGGACGGAGTAAAAAATATTCTAAGTGCTAGCCCGATACTATAAGCCCGCCAGGAATCCGCCAACCCCGGCCTCTTCCCAGAAGAATGGCACTGGAATTCCCCCGGTCACCTCCAAAAAAAAAGCCGAGGTCCTCCAGTAGAGAGGTGAGACTAAGGATGCCAACCTTTTTTCTGTAGTCTATTTTAGTAGGGGAACCCTCCCAACCCAAAAAAAACGCCAACAGCTGGCACCTGGCAGCTGGGACCTAGCACTTCGGTGCTCACGCGACTCGCGACTCGACCTTCGACAAGAGGCGAGGTCTCAGAGACGGCGCGCTTGAGGCTGTGGTCCCGGAACCAGGGGCTTTCCAGAAGGAGCATCGAAGCCGGGCGCAGCGTCTTGTCCAGACGCAAACATTGCGCCACGATGTCGCAGTAGCCTAAAGGCACCTCCTGACGAATCCCACCAACATGTGAGACACACACACACACAATTTAGGTAACGGGGTGCGTGGGTGGGAACCGTAGGTTTTTCACAAAGGGGAAATTGGAAGTATACATGAAATTCCAGTGTTCACCCCCCGTTCCATTTTGGGGTGGGGGTTTACGTTCACACCTCTTGAGAAAACCCCCCAAACCACCCCCCACAACATACTCATTCTCACACATGCCCTCCTGATTATTTTTGCTATCATAATTTTGGTCAAGGAAAATATATATATATATATATATAAATATATATATATATGTACATATGATGGTAACAAGCATTGACCCAATCAAACAGAATATTGCAATCAAGGCTCTGTTGAGGGGACCCCCCGAAACACCCCAAGCAAACCCTCTCTGAAAGTCCAAACTAGATCAAAATTGGAGGTGTCTTTGGGGGTTCGAGGGCAGAGCCCTATATATGATATGTGTGTGTGTCTTTTGAGGCTACCCTTTTCTAGAATCACAGGAAACCAAAAGGAACACCCACTTCGGGGAGTACCAGTGCTTCTAGAGCACAACAATCTCTTGCCTACAGGGCCTTTATAGGGTTTACATGATACGTGCCCACAAGACATTATGTGGACTACATACTATGCGGACGAGACGGGCCAAAATCACTTGAATTTGCCTCTTGCGGATTTGAAATCAAGTCATGACCGCTAATCTAAAAAATGTGTGATGTGTCTACGACCGACCTGAATTCAGGTCTCCCGAAGGGACCATCATAAGATAGTGTTACCCCCAAAGACCACAGCCCAACGGTTGAGGCCTTCTGCGGTTTTATTCAGCCCGCGCAGGGTATGAATAAGACTCCCTTAAGCGAAGACACACCTCCCAGTTGGAAGTCTGAGCTGCTCCGAGTCTGGAACCTCTCTGGACCTTCCAGTTCCCGGTCCCCTCATGGCTTACCTTCGTGACGGCACCCTTTTTGAGGTTGGTTCAAAGGCAAACCAAAAGGACAACTACTCATTTGGGGTCGCTCCTTTTGACACACAGCCACATCTTTCACTTTTACCGGTATGGCGCCACATGGTCTTGCCGGCTGGTGTGCAGCTGACCATATTACCAGATCATAAGACTAGGCAACAAGCCAAAACCATACCAATCAACCTCAACCGGCAGAACTTGGACCACCAAAAACCCGTGGCATGCGGTTAAAAAACTCTTTAAGGCCAATGAAACCCTTGTCTAAACTCCTCCGGCAATGAACATCACGAGACTGTGTCTCCTTCACATCGCTGGGAACAAAGGCTCAGACTGCTTGCCCTTAACCCAAGCCCCAGTGGCCATGAGGAAAAAAGGCATTGCATTTGCAGTTGATTTGACAGAGACACTCCAAACAAAAACAAAGAAAAGGAAAAACCTAGGGGGCCTGAGTTGCTGTAAGCTTAGGGTTCCATCAAGAATAAAGTTTGGTGAGAACCTCAAAGACTTCAACCGCACTGAATCGAAATCGGTCTCCTGCCACTCTTGCGTCTGAAGGTTTACTTCTTTGGATGCGACGGCAGCCGCGAATGAGGCAAGGTCGGCCTTGGTAAAAGACACCCCACACGAGTGGTTGACTGGTTTATCCCTGGTCTCAACAGATCCGACCTCGTGCAAAACAACCTTTGCTAGATAAAGCGCACCACAAGAAAGGAACAAGATGGCCAAAAGTTACAAGGGTAAGCTTGGTCTGGCAATGATTGGTGGTAGGAAGCGTCCTCTGCTTCCAAAAATGGGCAAGTGCTTTGCAGGATCTCGGGGCTGCCCATAACTACTCTTTCCAAGCATTGCTATCTGCGCCCAAGATCGGACAAATCTAGCCTTTTATTTGGAGATTCAGGGTTCACACAAAGACCAAAGAGGGGGGTTGGCGGCACAGGCTCCGAAGCAATTCGCTGCATCTGTGGCAATGACGTTGATTAGCGCACTCTTGGCCCAGCATACCTCTCTTAAAGGTAAAGCATGCCAAATAACCCCGTGAATGACACAGATTGTCCACTGCACGCGCACATGCCTGGCCAAAGCAAGTCCTCTGAAAAAGCACGTGGACGGCGAAGGGTATTCCTTCCGCCCCAAACGGGGGAAAACAAAAAATGAATCCCCACAATCCACAAAGTCCGATCTTGGTGGTGCACCTTCTTTTTCCAAAACTGGCTGTTTCCGCCGTGTGTTGTCTCGCATGGCCAGTATGGGTGTTTTTCCTTAGGGAATCCCCAAAACTGTGGTTTGTGTGTTGGTTCTCTGTAAAACCACCCAAAACGGACTACCCTCAAAAAAGACACGCCCACATGTTTTCTTTCAGCAACCCTGCTCAACCCGGGTCCTGATTATGTTTCGAGATTAACATGTTCGATTGGGACCCTAGAAAAGTCCTCCAGTGGCCCGCCCCGATCTCACACTGAAGGAGAACCCCTTCCAAAAAACGCAAAAAAAAAACAAAAAAAACAGGTCCTTCCCCAAAAGATGAAACAAAGAAGCCAGATCCTTCCCCAAAAAAGCGGAAACAAGAAGCCACCCACCGAGAGTCCAGTTGTTTTTTCCTTTTTCTCGGTGCGCCAAGCGGCATAGTGGCCAAGCTTCCGCGGGAGCTTGCCCACAGCCATGAAGTGCAGGCTCAGGCCAAGTCCCCAAATGTCCGACTTCCTAACATCGAAAGCTGGGCCAGACTAAGGGTGCGGATTTGGTTCGGGATTGTTTTGTTTCCCCCCTTTTGTTTTTGTTGCAACTGATCCCTACAAATAGTAAAGGAAGGCGGGCATTGTAACGTGTTTTTGTTTGGCACTCGTTTGCGGATAGTTGCGCTCGCTTTGCGGATATTTGCGCTCGTTTTGCACTTCGATTTCTGCTCGCTCTTTTTGAAAATCAACGACCGATCATCTTGGAGGACCGACTAGCCCGGTGTTGGGAAAATCGCTCGAAGCAGGAACAAGTGTACGTTTACCATATTTTGGTTACGCCCCCTCGTTTTCTGCAATACGCCTGAAATTTTAGTAACGAAGGATGCTCCAGGTTCTGATGCTAGTTTCCTATTTGACTTCGTCTCAGAATAGACCCACAAAATGGATGATGTTTGGCGTTCTTTTCAACCACTCCAAACAAGGATACCCTGAAAAACACACACCTACCAGCATCCCCCAACAACTGCTATTTTGGACAGTGAGTGGGAATTTGGACATTGGAAAACCAGTTGTTCGGGGGTGCTGGTAGGTATTAAGGATGGATGTCCACCAACCATTTTTGAGGGGCTCTCCTTTAAAAAGCGTACCCAATTGCCTCCATTTGCTTTAAGCCCGGAACAACAATGATAAGTTTTTTTCAGTGATAGATTTCAACTCTAAAAACCATCAGACAAATGACAAATAGTCTTAAGCAGGGCTGTGAGAAATGACCACTGCTGTGATACACCAAAAAGGGCTTCCCAAAGACAAACCACCCACAAGGGGAAGATTCCCAAAAGTATCACGAAGTGGGGATAAATCCCGATTGATCCCACAATCCTGGTCTTAAGCCAATGGAAGCTTAGAGGGACTCTTGGTTGACGTGGAATGGGAGCAAACATGATTTTGACATGCTAAGTGCGGATTTCAACCACTAAACCACAACCAGCAAACATGTAAAATGCTTCCCAACAACAACCATCTGGGTGAATTATAATATTTCACCCTGAAACTTGCGGTTGCGGGGCTATTCCCCACATCAGCCATTAATTTGGGGTGAATTCGGTCGTGTGAGACCCGACTCTTGAGCCAATGGATCTAGGGGTTGATTCCTTTTCCATTCTCTTCAGCCATCGTGTTCTTTTTTTTTCAACAACCGATCGCCATTTCCCAGGGGGTTTGGGGGGTTTTCTAGAAAGATCCGGATCCCCGGAAAGAATGGGGAAAAGCTACCCCTATGGAAGCTTAGAGGGACTTCGTGTCTCTCTCATCGCCGGGCGTCTCGGAGGGAGACTCGCCCTGTAGCACCTCCGGGGCCGCGTAGTCCAAGGTGCCCGTCATGGTGAGGGACCAGCCGCTCATCCTGTGGACCAAAATTTGCTGTGGGTGCCCTCAACCAAAGACGATGCACCCAGGTTTTTTCAATGGGGCGCCTATGTGGCTGTGGTTCCAAAACGTTTTGGGATCCCATTTTGGTTGGGATTGGTGAACTCACCACCCATTTTAGAACCACGATTTTAGTGGTTGGATTGGAATGTTCACTGCGGGTACGATTTGGATTTTGACCCATGGCCAAATCTTGCTGGTGCTCAGGGAATGAGACATGGAATGACCCCTACCATCCCTTGTGGTTTCCTTTTTGGGAATCCCTGGGTTCATTCCCACATTCCCTACTGAGCAGCAAGAAATGTCATCCTGACTGGAAGGTGTCGACCAAAGAAGAAACCATCACCCTTTCTTTGGTTGATTTTGAAGGGAATGGCCACCATTCACCGGATGCTTGGAGTTATAACCCTTTCCAAAACGGAGAAACGAAAAGGCACCACTGGATGTTTGGGGTAGATTTTATCATAATCTCCTTCATTGCCTCAAGAACCCAAGTAGAACCCGCTACCAAAATGGGCAGAAGTGTTGGGGCTCCTCTGAGACCAGATTGAATCCCAACCTCCCCCCCCCCCAAGACAAGGCTGTTCTTTTTGTTTAATTGCTTTATGTTTCTTGCTTTGCTTTGTTTTTCTGCGTTTGAACGTCTCAAAATCGCCTGGCCCATGGCGGCTGACCAAAAAGCCTGAGCTCAGAAAAATCGGTGTCCCGTGCAAGGCAAAAGCACATCAGAAAAAAACACAACAATCTGCTGGTTTGATGGTGAAGGAGTGGTTTCCCATTTACCCACAAAAGCCAGGGGTGCAACGGGTGCAATTCCCAAAACACCAACCAACCTGAAAGAAAACCTGAAACACGCCATTCAAGCTTTGGATTGGCACAGTGGAACCCAAACATGACTCAATCACTGCTCTGGAGTCTGGGCAGTGACCCCCCAAAGCTTTCAGCTGTTGGAAAAGACGCAAAGAAGCTGCTTTAAGGGTCCTGGGGCTTGGTATGCAGAACGCTGGGGTCCCCGCACAACACCCCGAGTTGCTAGCTCCGAGTTGCTTTAGGGGTCTCAAAACAAGTGACTTGAGGAGCCTCAAAATCCATCAGGACCCGTTAGGGTGCGTAGGATTTGTTTTCCGGTATGGGGGGGGGGGGGGGCGGAAGTTGTTTTTTTGGCGTGTGTTGTTTTTGTTGTTTTTGTGTTGTTTTGTTGTTTTGTTGGCAGGGTTAAGTTCGCAGAATGCTTTGGGGTGTTTGGGGAAACTGTTCCAGGGTTGCTGTGGGATACCTCTAGGTGTTTGTTAGTTGTTTTTTCCTTCTTCTTTTTTTGCGGGGGAGAAGGGAAAGGTTCTGTGTCCTCTTCTTTGAGGAGGGAGGGGCTTGCGTTTGTTTATGTTTTATGTTTCTTTTGGGGGGGTGGGGTGGAAGGGGTTTTGTTTTTTTGCTTGGGGACCCCTTTTAAAATGTCCCTTCTGGGGGAGGCGCCTTTTGCAAGGGGTGCGCCTTTGTTCTCGCTTTAAGTTTTGAGTCGTCCGGCTTCAACCACAAGATGCGCTTTGTTCCGGGCGGGAGGCTGCGCAAATTCGGATGTCACAGCTTTGTCTTGACTTCCCTGGCTCACGTTCCGGTCAAAAAGTTGAAGTCTACCTTGGAGCTCTGCACATGGAATCCCAAATTGGTTCTCTTTGGTGTCCCTTCCACTGGACCCCAAAAAGGATACCCTCCAAAAACACCAACACACACACACACGGAGCTCAACGGAACAATTGGCTTTGTCGGTGCAGGCGCAAAAAATCCGCATCCCCCCATCCGAGAGCTTGCTCGGAGTCCGAGGTTCAGCTGGCAGGCCGTGTTGAAATCGGCGAGCCAGAGATTTTGGAGGTCGTCCTGCAACAAGATGTTCTCGGGCTTGATGTCTCGGTGCACTATACGGCGCCTGAGGCTCTTCTCACACCAGTGGACTGGCCAAAAAACAAGATCCAAGTTGTGTGTTGCCCGCCTTCCCAAACAGTTTAAGGTTCATGAGCTGGAGTGAGAATTGATCTCTCGACAAATATGGCGGGTGATTCTCCTTTTGGTTTTCCCCTCACCAACCAAATGTGGTTTCCCCAAAAAAGACACACCCAACTCGGCCATAGCCATGTTTAAAACTGTTCAAAAGGGAGCCAAGAATGTGACCTTCCATTCCTTGGGTATCTCCCCTTTTCAAGAAGGTCCCTATTCAAAAAGGCAAGCAATGAACCCCTATGCAGCAAGGGGGATGCGGACCAGAACTATGTTGTGGAAAATGTTCAGCGAATCCCTGTTGAAGAAGGCCGATATCTCACTTCCTGAGTGGATGGCCCAGAAAGAGCCACAATGCTTGTATTCCACTAAAAGGATCTTCTGAAAAATCTTAAAGTCCATTAACTCAGTATTGAAACATTGCTTGCTGCAGTTTTCACCCACCCCCCCCCCCCCCACCCAGCCAACCCCCTCCCCCCCCACCCCAACCCACCCCACCCACCAACCCCAACCCCCACCCACCCCAACCCACCCCACCCACCCCAACCCACCCCACCAACCCCACCCCACCCCACCCCCACCCATCGGCTCACCTGTGAAGGTAGTTCACCGCATCCAGGAGCTTCTGGCTCAGCGGCTTGAGAGACGCAACGGGAAGCCCCGCTGCCCAGCTCTGCCTGCGCCGCCAAGAGGAGGGGGGGGGGACGATGGACGATGACATGATGGGCTCCTCGGAGATTGATTTTTTATTCGGTACCCAGGTAACCCCCCCTTTTTGGGCCCCGTTTAAAGGAAATGCGAAAGGAAAACCGAAGCCAAAGAAGGAAGAGATGACATGGCTGGGGCTCGTCGATGTTTTTTCGGCTACCCCTCCCTTTTTTGGGTGGCTTTGAAGGAAAACCGAAAGGAACACCGAAGAAAAACCGAAGCCATTTGGGGGGGGTCCCCAAAAACGACACACCTACGTGGATGGCTCGTTTGTTTTGAGGAATCGGTCACCCAAGATAGCTTCGATTTTCCTTTGGGTTTTACTTTAAGAACCATCCAACAATGAGTACCCTCCAAGGACGGCCTATTGGGCTTTCACTGAATCCGAAAGCTAGAAACCAAAGCACCAAATCAGACCTGCACTATGGAAGGGAAATTAAGGAACCCAAGAGAAAGCCCCCGGATTGCCTAAACAATGTTCAGAGCCACCTCGCAAGGGGGGAGCCATAGCAGTTCATGACCAGAGGTGAATGCCCAAAGGATAACTTCGAAAGTCGAACCAAAGAGCAACCAATCATATTGAGCAACTTGCTTTGGATTGAGCAACCTATTGAGCAACCAATCATATTGGATTTCGAGCAACTTCGAGCATGTTGAGAACCAACAATTGCTCGAAATCCAATCGTCAAATCATTTGTCTGCACAATACTGTATATACGTAGACCAAAAAGCATATGTGGGTACGGGTCAAAATTATACCGCCAAGGCAAGGGACCGGTTTTAGTCCATGTGTCCATTTACCAGGGCCTTGCAATTTGGGGTTAGCAATTCTAGTTTTGACCACAGCCAATGAAGCAAACAGGGCACCCCGGTCAAAAGCCATCCTATGGCTTGTTTCCTGTTGGTGTCCCTTTAAACTCTTCAAAAAGGGGTCCACCATTTTGAGAAACCTCCATGTCACTTTGTGACCGTTCCTCTAGGGGTACTTTCCCCATTCTTTTCAGGGATTCTTCTTTCTAGAAAACCTCCGTAAACCCAGGGAACATGGCTGGTTGTTGACAGAACGATGGTTAAAAAGAATGGGGACTCAACCCCTAGAATTCCAGAAAACCAGCCAGAACCAGCGACCACCGGTCGATACGAGAAAATCCGAGCGGCTTCAGCACGCTTCGTAAGGTGCCCTCACAGCAGAAGTCGAAGATCAAGGCAGCCTGGCCCTCGAGCACCACAAAATCAATCACCTCACTGCAAGGGCTGGAATTAAAACGGCACCCTTTGAACAGAAACTTCAACTTGGCAGGGGCAGCCCCCTCCTTGAACTTTGGGCTCTGCTCAAAGATCGACTTGACCTTCCTGAGGAAAACAAAGATGTTCAGCAGGCCTTAAGGGAACCCCGGAGTCATAAACCCAGTTGATTGCCCTGTCCAACATGACACATGATTTGGGACCTGACGCCTTGCGCGGTGCTTAAACTGGCAAGAAGGGGAAATGTAGGCACTCCTGGTAGCATGGATCCAATGAAATGTAGGCACTCCTGGTAGCATGGATCCAATGAGCTCGCTTGATGAGGTTCGTTTCTGTAGGATTGATATCATGGTCCGCTATTGCTGCGACCCACTTGGCTATGAATTCTAAAAGCTGATCCTTCGGTCCAACATGGGGCTGACGTTTTGGGGTCCTGGCTTGGACCATTTTCCTTTAAAAGGGATGGACCGAGCCTCTGGTGGGTTCCATGGTACACCCAAACGCGAAAGTCCTTGCATTTTCGTGTTTTTCTTGAAAGTCCGCAGCCTGCCAGTAAAAACAACGCAACGAGTAGTCCCGGCAGGGTCCTTGCAACTGAGCCTTCCCCACTGGCACACGGCGCCCAAGTGTCTCCTAAAACTGCTTTGTTTGAGTACCACTACGGACGCAATCCCCATGGCACATCGCATGTTACAAGGCACTTAAACGCATTTTAAGCATACACGCTTAAGTACGAGTAAGAAGGCAATCCCCGTGTGGAAACAACGTACACACACGCCCGTGTGGAAAACATCGCTGCCATTGTGATTGGCCTACCCAAAACACCTCAACGCCTACCCAAAAGACCTCAACTTGATCAATGAAACCATCTCAGGGGACCACGTTCAGCATGTATTTCTCTACGAAAATGACCTAATATCACGCAGCAATTGTCTCTTGAAAACATGCTAAACCAAACGCCACTGGCACACGGAGTTGCAACGACCCTACCGGATGCGTTTCGTGTGCGTATTACACGAAAAACATGCTGCCAAAACCAAACGCAACGACTTTCACAGGTGAGAGTAACGTGGACAGGTAAACACCTCACTTCCGATCGAGTGGACTGGCCTAACCTTTTGGTTTACCAAACCCCAAAAGTCCAAGCCCAAACTCAAAAAGTCCAAAACCCCAAAAGTGACCTAAATGGTCCAAACCCAAACAGTGACTCAAGTCGGAAGCGGAACTCGGGGAGTGAGTTGACCTTTTGGGACGAGTAAATATGGACCAGCAACCAAAAGGTCAAAAGCGCGGCCCAAGGGGCAACTGAGCAAACCAAAAGCTTCTCAGAAGGTGAGCCTGTTCTGTTGTTTCTTGTGTATTCCAACCAGGGAGCATGGCAAACAACACATGTCTCGTACAACCCAACAAAACATCGGACCTGGGGATGGGATTGTCTTTATATATGAACAGGACCCAAGATGGGCTTCCGGCACAGGTCTGTGTTAAAACAGGAGGCCAACATGATTTCCCTGTGTCCTTTGACACCTATCCTCCAGTTTAGGTTACCTTTGTCACCAGTCCACTCGATCAGAAGTGAGTTACATACCTGTCCACGTTACCATGGAACCCACCACAAAAAGGCACCCTTTCAAATAGGGATGCTGAGACCCCAGTATTACCCAAGCATTCGACGCAAGTTAGGATGCCGCCTTACACGCATGACAGGCCCCGCTAGACGCGAGCTGTCTGCCGCAGTCACTCTGGGCAACTCTGGGTCCCTAGGCAAATCTGCGGCTAAAAACAAGGGCCCGTGCCTTTTGAAGCGTCCCAACCTAGATCTGCGGAGTTGGATCCCTAAAGCACTTCCCTGACATGAAAAACGAATACTTGGTGAGCCCCCGCCCTTCGGATTCTTGATGCGAAGAAAGCACGAAAGCTCATTGATGAACCACTGCCTCACTTGTCTTGTCCTCATTTAGTTGGAATCCCCTGCCTGCATGCAATATGGGCGTTTCCTAACGCAAACGGACCTATTTTGATGTTAGGTCTGCACGTATTGTTTTTTTTCATGGGAAAACCAGCTCAACCTCAACCATGCTGCCAACCTCAGCATTTTTGCCCCGCACCCCCCCCCCCCCAATAGTAGTATGTGGATGCAGGTCCATATTGAGTGAACCTTAAGCTGCAAAAACCAACTGCAAACCAAACAATTCAGCTGCCAAGCTGGCGCCTTCCGCGTTTAGAGGGGCATGGTGCAAGCTAGACCCCCCAGTCCGGTTCCATGCTCGACGGGAGTAGAACCATCTGCAGATGGTGCATCAAAATTTGGACCCAACATGTGGAAAGAAACCCATCTGATCAAGACGCCCAACATAACATGGCTTTTCAGTCGATTCCCCCCCCCCCCCAGAATCGGTGAGCTCAAAGCCCCATAACATAGGCAGAACCATCCTGCCTTGAGGATGTAAAGAACCAACCCAGATGATTCATATAAGCCCTGGTTCATGCTTAAGACATACTTGGGTTGAAACATTGAGACAACCACCACATGTTTGCACAGTCTTAATGATATGCCCTTGGTTTTCACGGTGTTGGGATCCCTCAGCTGCTGAAGTCCCTTTGGAGACCTAGAGACCATCCCGCCTTGTGGCCTCTGAATCAATGAGTATCCTCCAACCACTCAACATGGAACCTGACGTTTCGGGGGGGTCGTTCTCCTTTTACAAGGACCCGGTCCCAAACATCAGGTTGCATGTTAAAGTTGGGAGGAGACTCTTCCCTTTAGGGGTACGATGTTTTGTGTGGGTCATTTGGGTGTCTTTTTTCAGGGCTACCATGTCTTTGCGTGGGTTTTGCCAAGGGAAATTGGGTGTGGCTCAAAATTAAAGAGCAAGGGTTACGCACGTTTTGGTCTTTGGTTCCATTTACCAAGGTGCCATTTTGGAATGCATGTGTTTAAGATACAGCCATTTTGCTGCTTAACCCAACTTGGGCCCATAGAATGTATATTCTGTGGTTTGCTTCCCTTTGAGTCACTGATAAAGCCTGTAAAATGTATCATCTCTCTTGGCATGGTAGCTAAAAACTTTGTTTTTTGCAGACCCCCGGTAAACATGACCAGAACCATAAAACTAAAAAGCCAAAAACAAACATGCCAAGAACAGCGAAGGTATCCTAAGTCCCCGGCCTTGATGATGTGGGGATGCTCCAGTTTCTTCAAGACTTCGAACTCCTGCTGGCAGGATTGGATCACCGCAGCCTCTGGCACGTGACGGATCTTCACCGCGACCTCCCGCTGATCTGCCTTGCGCAAACCGGGCTGCTCCAAATGTAGCTCCGGTTTAGGGTGTTGGTGTTGGCTTAGGGTGTGAATATAGATGTATGGTTTAGGTCTTGGGATTTGTAAGGTTTGCGGTCTAGGTGTAGGACCGGGTTTAGGCTTTCAGGCCTAGAGTGTTAGGACTTCGTTTAGGTTCAGATTTGGGTTTAGGTGTTGGTTTAGGGTTTAGGTTTAAGGTTGTTGAGTTCAGGCTTACGGAATCTGATTCAGGTTCAGGGTTTAGGTTGAGGCGTCTGGGGCGCAGGCAACCCGTGGGGGCTGGCCAAGTCATGTGGTGGGTTCAATTATCCGGGGTCGGGGTACGCCCCCTTATAACCATGGCTGTAATAACCACCCACGTAGCTTCAAAGCCCGTACACAGCGAATGTTTCCCCCAGAGGTCATGACAACAAACAAAGAAACAAATGCAGGCAGGCAGGCAGGCAGGCAGGCAGGCAGGCAGGCAGGCAGGCAGGCAGGCAGGCAGAGAGACAGAGAGACAGCCAGGGCAGCGACAGTCAACCAACCAACCAAACAAAGGCCTATGCTTCCTCGACTATTCTTCAAATAGCCTCGGCCATTTAAAAAGCGAAAGGCTATAAAAGTCATGTCCCTCGACCATTAAAAGCAACTTGAGACGGCTGGCTCCTGACATCCCCGCACGCTTCTGTGCAGTGAGAGGTTGAAGAAGAACTTTATTGCTGCCTTGTATGAAATAAGCTAAGTATGTCTTAAAGTCGCTTCATCCCGTTGTACTCACACGCCGTCACCATGCTGTGTCAATTTGGCTTGTCCCTCACATGCCCGTGCGTGCTTTTCCACTTCTTGTCCACAGCTCCACAGAGTCTGATCGCGTGTTGTTTGTTGATTGCTTAATCAATTTTGAAAGAAAATGAGGCGTGGACAAACCGTGGACAAACCGTGGAAAGTACGCTTTTTAGCGTGGAAAGTACATTTAAAAACGTGGAAAGTACATTTAAAAGCGTGGACAACCATACCCCCAGGATGCCTGATCGGCAGCGATGCCCCGAAGCCACTAAGTTTGCAGCATTTTTTACAAAAGCTGGACTTCAGTACCAACATGCGAAGAATTCATGCACGCATAAACGGTAGGCGGGACACCTGGCAATTCTGAACAGTGATGCGGCCATACATTTGGCAAGCCGGGGAATGAGTGGCTTGGGTGCAGCAATTTGCAGCTGGGAGGATGAGGGCGGCGTGACTGTCAGTGACCTTACCCTAAGCAATTCTTGGGCAACAAAAACCACCATTTGTTGGATATTCAGGGTAAGGCGCACAAAAAATCGTCTTTCGGCAAGAAACAGTCTAGCGACCTCGAGCATTTTTTTAATGGCCTTTCAAGCCAACCAACAGACACACTCAGAACAAAAACATCGACACAACATCCAGCCAGCAAGCTAGCCAGCCAGCCAGCCAGCCAGCCGACCAAACACACAGATCACAAAGAAGCAGCAAGCAAGCAAGCAAGCAAGCAAGCAAGCAAGCAAGCAAGGAAGCAAGGAAGCAAGCAAACAAACAAACAAACAAACAAACAAAACAAACAACCGTGCCAGACAGACAGACACACAAACAATCAACCAAACAAACACATACACACAAAACAAACAAACAAAAAACAAACCAACCAACCCAACCCAACCAAACCAAACCAAACCAAACCAAACGAAACCACAACAACACAAACCAACCAACCAACCCACCAAACAAACAAACAAACAAAACAAACAAACAAACAAACACACACACACACAAACACACAAACAACCAAACAAACGGCAAACAAACAAGCAAACAAGAAACAACACAAAGAAGCAATGAAACGGCAAGCAAGCAAGCAAGCAAGCAAGCAAGCAAGCAAGCAAGCAAGCAAACAAGCAAGCAAGCAAGCAAGCAAGCAATCAAGCAATCAAGCACACAAGCAAACAAAAACCAAAGAAACAAACAGACAGACAGAAAGACAGACAGACAAACACGCAGGCAGGCAGGCAGGCAGACAGACAAAGAAACAACAAAAACCAAAGAAACAAACCACCTTTGTTCTAGGTAACCCCAAGATGCCAAGCTGCTCTTCGCCTAGCTCTGTACACGAAGCCGACGGATCCTCGTCCGAGGATCTTATCCAGCTCATAGGCGGTCGTCAGCGGGTTTTCGGCTGGGAGCAAACCTCTGGACCAGATTTAGTTCCCCAAACAAGTGAACTCAGTGGAAAACAACAGGAAACAAAAGGAGAACAGGCAACCATGGAGGAAAGCAGGAAACAGAAAAGCAAACGAGATAGAAACCCAAACATGGTGCGTGAAACACATAAACATGAAGAAAAACAAACAGGTTTCAAAAACTCAATCAGCGTGAGGGTTTCAGCGGTTGCTCCAAAGACACATTCAATCGGCACAAGGGCTGGAATTTGGTCGTGGCAAAGTGTGATGTGCCGCTCCCCCCTTCCTCAAGATGAGGCCTTGAAAACGGTCGCAAATTAGGGTCGCAACAAACAGGCAACGGGCGGAGGGGAGGGGTGGGTTGGGGGAAGGATCAAATCCTATCACAACCACGATTAAGTAGAGCGAATTCGTCACCAATCGAACCGACTGTTGAAATATTGACATCCACCGAAATAACTAGGCACAGGAACCCAGGACCATTGAACTTTGGGAAAGCTGAGCTGCAAGGGGAAGCAATTTGGAGGACGAGAGAATCCTTCCCAATGCTTGCATAAAAGCAAGGCTTCTCCTAGGTTTCACGTCATGTCTTTTTCTGGCTACCTGCTACAGTAGCTGAACTTTCTAGGCTGTGCTCTCGAAACCTTCGGCCGAGACTCCATGCTCTGCGTTTCGCGCGTCATCTGTCAAGACCGTCAACTGCGTCTTGGCCAGACATCTGCGCCTCCACAATCCTGACTCCATGCGCTCGGGCAGAGGAACTTGCTTTTTGAGCCCAAAAGCCCCAGGACCAGGCTGAAGGAGCACAAGGCCACCGGCGCACCGGCGCACACGTGGGGCGCTTGGAATCCGTTGTAAGGCAAAGCCTTCACGCGGGATCCAGCGTGACCTATTTTTGTGAACTGGATTTCTGCCCAAGTTTGTTTATCCAAGTTCTCGATGCGAGCTACTTTGCGCAAGTTGCTGTCGGCACATGATTGATAAAACACAAGGTTTGACCAACAAGTAGACCCCTCTTATTTTTTGGAGGCACCTCCCAAAATCCGACTGATTAAAGACGTCCCTTTCCAGCCCAAAGTTCAAAACATACAAAAACACAATAGTCGAAATTGCCAAAGCAATTGCCAACACTTTTGCCCATGCTAACTCCTTGCGTAGTCTCAAAGGTTGCCATTCCAGAAATCAAACAACGGCTAACCGAAACAAATTTAGTATACTGTTTGCTTCAAAAAACAGGGTTGACACGCTCGAAAAATGTAAGGCCTTTCAAGGCTTGCCCCCCCCTCCGAATAACACAAGCCGCCCTCTGAATAATCCTGGCCCTCTCCAGCCCGGGAAAACACCAAATGAAATGTCCTTTAACTTTCCTATTGCAGTCCTATTGGCCAAACAGGGATCCACGCAGGAAAGGCCTGGTCCAGGCTAGCCCCTCCCAAAGCCATGTCGACCTTGGGGGGGCGGGGTCATTAATCATGTTCCCCCATGTCAGAGCGTGTTACCTCCTGCGCAGGCAACTATCTCTCTGCAAGCCACAAACAAGTAGAACAAGTCCGCAGGTTTTGCGCATCTAACCCCCGAAGAGCAGAGGGTCGCGGATAAAAAACAACTCAAAAACATCCTTACGCCTTGACCACACCCATCCCCGCAGATGGTCGCGCGAGAGCAAATCAAAAAGGAGAGCGAGACCTCAGTGTCTTTTGCTCTGCACGGGCTCTCGTAAATCTTGCCCTGCATGCGCGCTCGACTTGCGATCTTGTGTCTCTGCCATGCATGCGCTCTCGCACATCTTGCTCTGCAAAGGCGCTCGACAGCTCGACGTGAGCCCTCGTGTCTCTTGCTATGCATGATCTCGCGCGCATCCTGCTGTGCATCTTGCTTCGCCGTGCTTTCGTGCATCTCGCTCTGCATGTCCTCTCGTGTATCTTTCTGAGCGGTAAGGCTAACAATTTTACCGGAAGATCCCTTCGCAATGCTTTTGGGGGAAAAGATAGACCTCTTAGAAGGGGCTCTGAGAAAGGTTCGACAAACACTTTCTGTGGGCAGTACAAGGGGCTGATTACCCTATACACCCATTCTAATGCTGTTAACCCCCAAATGTGTTTGTGTTTTTTTTTCCCCGACAAATGGAATTCTGGGTCGAAATCCTCCCCCAATTTGGTTTTCAAGGCGGCACTGGGCCGAGTCTAACTCTTGATTCCTTTGCCTGGTGATCAACTGGAAGTCGTCCTCCAAGAAGAGCACAAACTCCTGGGAAAACTTGCGAAAGACCAGGTTGAAATTCCCGTGTCGATCTTGGGCGGGCCCCGAAAACGGTTTTGCAGGTTGAGTATCAACTAGCTAGCGGTTTTGTTGTGAAACTAGTAGAGTGTCGGAAGGTTGATCAAGAGCCTGGGCGAAACACATAATTATTTGTTGTTGTGACGTGTGAAATAGCAATTGTCTCCATTCCGACACACTTGCCGATATGACATCGTCCCGTCGCGGATGCGCAACACCCAGCCCAATCCTGTGTCAGAAGTCCGAGCCCCACATATTTCTAGTCGATATCTGCCGAACCCAAACTAGTGGCTGAGTGTCAAAGCTACTTGGACTCGTTCTCTGCTCCCTGTCCAGGAATCGGCCTGAATTCGGCCGATTCAAAACTGTTACCATGTACAAGGTCCCCTGATCCTCATGCAGGTTCGCACATATTCCGTCTCCAAGCCGGCGTGCAAGTTTGGCGATGTTGGTCGCTGTTGTTTTAAGGCTACAGCGGGGAATCGGCGGGAAGCAAGGATGGGATCGGGGAATGCAGATTTGCTATTGCTTCTCTGAGAGGTGAAGTGTCGCGGTGCCTCTTGCAATCACCTCCTGTTCCACCTCTTCGCCTTCTTCTGTTGGGAGAAAAAGCTAGCGATGGCGGGGGAAGCGGGGATAACGAGGGATGCCCGATAAAGCAGGCTGGAAGTAAATGGCCCACATCCCTTCTTTAAACCAAATATGGAACCTGAAAGACGGGCCCTGTAGACGAATAATTCTAGACCACCAGCAGATGAAATAACATGTTCAGATTCTGCTCCAATCTCTAGCCCTTCATAGGTCATGAAATTCTGGGTTGCTCTTCTCGCCAAATGTCAAAAGCCTTTCGGACTCATGGAGAGGGCTGAAGGATAAGCCAAGCAACGCCCGAGTCCACAATCCGGTTCCCCAAACCCAAAGGGGAACCGAAGCTCATGCAACCAAGGAAGAATATACTGGGTGGCCCCTTGACCCAAGACTGAAAGGTCAACCTTGTGCAATTTTGGCAAACGGGGAAGGCAGAAGGTCGATTCAGGTCGATTCGCTTTCAAGTGAGTAACTCAGCATTCAGTATGGAAAACGGCACGGCCAAAAAGCACCCTAGCAAGCCTAGGGTTCAACCGCAGGGTCAGCTACCCTAAGTGTCTCTCACCCCCTCGGCAACTTGGGACCGATTTCGCCATTTGGGGGTTGTTCAAAATAAAAGTTCCTGCCCTTTCGCCGGCCTTTCGCGGCCCCATGTTTTCCTTTCGCGTTGACAACCAGTCCTTAAAAGCTTGTTTCCGAGCCCCAGCCAGGGTTCTACCATGTATTCGTTGTGTTTCAAGTCCTTTCGCGTTCCTTTCGCCGGCCTTTCGCGATGCAGTGTTCTCCTTTCGCGCTAGACCTTCAGAACCTCCCTGTACTTAATTTTAAGACTGGCAATTTAGAACGACTCCCATTTGCTTGTTCGTCCCCAGGCAAAAATGAGAAAATATGTCCAGTGATAGATCCCAACATTAAAGGCAACAAGGGCAAATAAAAGATATATAGGCTGAAAAGCAAATAGAAGCTAGTAAACTGAAAAATTGGAGATTATTCGACGACCCTTGTGTTTGGTCATCCTTTCAAAGGGTCGGAGAATGTTTAGAGGTCTGCACACTGCATGGGTTTCGGCTCGACTCTTCATGTGTCTCATGAACCAGCACATTTTCAGAGGGCAATGGACGAGACTGGTGCCATAGGCAGGGAATTACACATGGAATGACCCTTATAAAATTATAAACCATCCAACTGGTGGTTTCCTTTATGGACCAAAGCCTGGGCTCATTGAACCATATTCCATACCTCGCGCACCAAGCATTGGTATGTCTCTCTCCCTCACCTGGTCGCAGGCTTTGGCGCAGGACGCCATCGCCGCGCCTGCCGAAAAAGACCAAGGTTCTGGGTCCGGGCTTTGAATCTTGAGCTGTTGCGCCCAACTGAAAAAGAAAAACAAACCAAACAGCAAAAACAAAAACGACACAAAAATCATCTGGCATGCATATTGAGAGAACCTTCCCTTGTAGCATCATGTTGAAATGCGGTTTCGGATCTCAGTTGGTTGACTCGCGTTTGGGTTGCCGAACTCAACATGCAAGCCCAGGTATGCACGCTGGCTGACGAATGAATATACACGTGATTCAGATCCGGGGAGCCACCGCAACATAGTGACGATGAGCTATCTTGCTGGTGCGATAGGCAGGGAATGAGAAATGAAATGACGCCCAAACATCATCCGGGATGTCATCATAACTTTGGCGTTTCACCCTGTTCAAGCGAATGATGAAATCAGGAGCTCAGCTCGAAGGTGCTTATCCAAAAGAAACCTACCCTTGGTGGACGTTGGAAGGGGAGCAAAACATATATTTCAGCAGTTGAGTAGGGATTTCAACCACTAAACCACAATACACAAAAATGTAAAATGATGTAAAATGTTTCCCAACAACAACCATGTACCACTGTCTGTTTGGCGTGTTGCAGAGTAACAGCGGATGATCGGCTTACAATCTGCAACTCAGCCTAAACATCCAGGCGATTGCACAACAAGACCTCACAACAAAAACATGGTCAAGGCAGTCAGAAAAAAGATAGTGAGTGCTTGAAAAATGGAACATAACCCCACTTTGGTGATTGGAAAACAGCCGAAGGACAATCGTTCACACCCTATGTTGGGGACATAGCCGTGATATCCGAACGAATGTCCACATGGATACCTCGCCGGTCCATTCCGCGCAAGTCTCTGTCAGCCTTAGTTCATATCCAAATGATGTCCCCAACGACATGGGTGTGTCTCCCTTGCAAGCCCGGCAGGGTAGGGGAAATACGGTATAAGGACTCCTGAACTATGGCAACCCTATGAATAGTTGGTCACCTTGGCGTTTGCTTTTGTAAGCCCTCCCTCACAAAATAGGTCAATACTTGGGTGGAGGATATTCCAATTTGAAACCGACCGACAGACCAACATTCTGGATTGGTTTTCCATGTCTCCAGGCATATCCCCTTTTCGCTGCAGGGCCGCTTCCCCACTTCCCGCCTGGGCTGCCCTTCTGGCGCTTCCTGGGAAGAAGTCTGAATCTCAGCTTCCCTTCGGTAGCTTGATGTGCTGTGGAGGTTCAGGCCTGGTTTCCCATCTAGACAGGGCTGCAAATCCGAATCCGAACCACGAAGGTACCTAAGAGTCTGTCCAGCTTGCAGTCGCTTGTCAGCGAGCCTTCCAGGCCATCTCTGGAAGGCTTTCAGGGCTTGAGGTCCCATAGGAAAATGCTCAAAGGCTCCCCGAAATTCGGAGTCGTTGGGGAGTGGCTGGGGCTGCGCCATGAATCAGTACGGGTGTAAAAAAGACACACTCATACATGAAAACCAGGCTCCTTCCCAAATATTTGGGGTCGCACCCTCACTAAAGGGGAATCATTTCAATCCTCACGCTTTTGGCTACGCTGCGGATTGACATAAAACCCAAAAAAGGCCGT